TGGCTACTGATTCTCTTTAGATTTGATAAAGACCCATTAGAAGGCAGGAATATTGCTAGGGGCTGAATGTTTGTGTCCCCCTTAAAATTCACACATTGAAATCTTAATCCCCAAGGTGATGATATTTGGAAGCATAGGTATTTGGGAAGTGATGCAGGAACCTCATGAATGTGATTGGTGTTCTGATAAAAGATCCCAGAGAGCTCCGAGGAATCAGCAAGCAAGCAAGAGCACTCTGGACTTCTGGGTGGTCCAGTGGTAAAGGATCTGCCTGCAATGCAGGGGACATGGGTTCGATCCCTGGTCTGGGAAGATTACACATGCCTCAACAGCTAAGCCTGTGCCCCACAACCACTGAGCCCTCGCTTGAGAACCCATGCTCTGCAACAAGCAAAGCCACCACAATGAGAAACCCGGGCACCGCAACTAGAGAGTAGCCTCTGCCTGCTGATACCAGAGAAGTCTGTATGCAGCAACGAAGATCCAGCATAGCCAAAAATTGAAGGAAAAAAAAGATAAAGGAAGAGTACCCTCAGAAAAAATGACCCAGCTGGCACTTTCACCTTGGACTCGGAGCCTCCAGAACGTCAGAAATAAATCTGTTGTTTCTTAGCCACCTCGTCTGCAGTACGTGGTTACAGCTGCCCAGATGGACCGAGACAAAGAAACAGAAGTCAGGTCCCAAACGCTCGCTTCTACATTCAGGTCTGTGCAAGCCTGAGAAGGCAGCCACATCCCCGCAGGCAGAGTTAGATCTGGAAGATCCAGTCTCTCTGGATGGAAGAGACGTGAGCAGATCCCAGGAAATCTCCAGACTGAGTGTGGTCCTGGCACAGTGCCAGGTGCTTACAACTGGTTTTTGCAAGTGGCAAATTTGCAACCCAAGATGCCTTTCTCCGTTTCCTAGAGGGTTTTTAATTACAGATAGTGGAGGGCCGTGTGGAAGAAGTGCTTGAGAATTATTACTAATTCATGGCAATGAACTTAAGGACCAGCAACTCTCAGATCATAACCCTTCACAGTCCTTCACTCAAGAGCTCCCTTTCCAGGCTCCTCTTTTCTTTTTCATTCCCTTGCCGCTTTGCTTTCCTGGCTCCACCCACACAGACTAAGTCAGTGGCTGAAGATGAAACTTCAGAAGGGACCTCCAGGGGCCTCAGGGGTGGAGGATTCTATGAGACTTGTTCTGGACCTGCATTGGCTCAGGAATATGTCCTCAGGTATGTCAGAGATGTATTAGACCAGCTTGGAAAAGGGGAGGAGAAAAGGGGAAAGGAGAAATTCCACTAGAAATTGTGGAAGCACCAAAGCTTCCCAAGGCACAACTTTCCCAGGGTCCCTGTAAGCCTGCTTTGTCTCGGGGGTGCAGCTCAAGTCGCCCTCTGTTTCCTGATTCTCATCAGGCAAAGTCATGAGAGACCTTGCTCAAAACCACTTAGGACTGCCTCCCTCTGGAAGTTACAAAAGAGGAAATACAGGGCCTTCCCTGGTGGTCCAGGGGTTAAGCATCCGCAGCCAATGCAGGGGACATGGGCTCCATCCCTGGTTCAGAAGGATTCCACGCGCCACAAGGCAACTGAGCCCCCAAGCCACAACTACTGAGCCCTCAGGCCTGGGGTCCATGCCCCGCAACAAGAGAGTAGCCTCTGCTTGCTCCAACTAGAGAAAGCCCATGTGAATCAACGAAGACTCGCGTGATCAAAATAAATAAATAAACACAACTTTAAAAAAAAAGAAACTACAGAGATTCATTTTGTTGGACCGACAAGGCAAAGAGAGAGAGAGAGAGAGCAAGGACACACATGAATGTTTGTCTAGATAGTTGCCAGCACTTAAAAATTTCACACACACACACACACACACACACACACACACACACACACGCACGCATTTTTTTTTTCAAAAGTGAAAAAAAAAAGGCCTCTGTGCTGTGGCTTCTCTTGGAAGGTTGACTAGGGAGCCTGCATCTCTGGATGCAAATCCTGCTGTGGCTGATCATGCTCCCAGTCAGGCTTGCCACAGTTTGCCACAGTCTCCACCCTCCCCTATTGCCTCCCAACCCAGAGCCCAAGAGTCTAATTTCTTTGCAGTGAAATTAGGAGGAAGGAAACACAGTTTTTACAATCGCTGTTCTTTCAAAAGTAGGCAAGCTAAAGTTAGAGGGAAGCTTGTATGTTTCAAAAACAAATGGGAAAATAAGTTTCTTTCCCCTGGGGACGGAAAAGCCTTCCTAATTGTTTAGAAAACAAAATAACTGGGGCTTCCCTGGTGATCCAGTGGTTAGGAATCTGCCTTCCAATGCAGAGGACGTGGGTTCGATACCTGGTCGGGGATCTAAGATCCCACATGCTTCGGAGCAACTAAGCCCTCTCGCTACAACTACGGAGACCTGCACTACAATTTGAGAGTCCAAGCACCATAACAAAGACCCATAACAAAGGCACAGCCAAAAGAAAGCAAAAACAAAAGAAGTGCCTCTTCTAAGAGACCATGACTTAGGAAGTCTTTATGAAACAAATGGCTTCCCTCACTTGTAGGCAAGTGAGTTAAGCAGGAAGGTGCTAATGGATGCGGGAAAACAACACGTACCCTAGTCGTTCCCTCTTCTCTGACTCCAGTACCAGCTAAAATGCTGCTTCATGCTTTATGTTCCTGGAAAAGGGTTTCTGGCACATGTTTAGTGCTATACTTTGAAGTTTGCCACCTCTCTCCAGGTTTCCTTAAAAGGAAGCGTGACAGAAAAAGTCAAACAGAGAAATCAGGTCATCATTAGGCCAGAGTTGTTTGTGGACATTTTTCTCCACCAAGTATTGTTCTTTTGGTATTTCTGCCTCCAAATACACTGTGTGTGCATATGTGTGTGTGTATGTGTGCGTGTGCGCGCGCGCGCATGCACACAGGCACTCAGTCGTATCCAACTCTTTGCAACCCCAAGGACTGTAGCCCACCAGGCTCCTTTATCCACGAGATTTTTTTTCAGGCAAAAATACCAGAGTGGCCTGCCGTTTCCTCCTCCAGAGGATCTTCCTGACCCAGGGTTCAAACCTGCACCTCCTAGGCACACTGGGTCTTCATAAAAACTGTTTCCCAAACTGGCTATTTGCGTACTTTTGCAATTCATCACATCTGCGCCCCCTCTCTACTATTGTTTATTTAATACTTTTGTGAAATAAATTTATTTTTTTAATCAACTGATTTTTAAAGGAAATTTTCAGAGTCGGAAAACCAGTATCATGCATCATAAATGGAACCAAACCATAAAAACAAAAGCAATGAAAAGGAAAGCCACATTACTAAATTTTTTCAAGATAACTGCTGCTGCCACGGCTCTAAGCTTGCAGGTTTCTCTCTTGGTTAGCAAGAATCTCAGTTTCAAATTAAAACTTTTTCAATCATGCTGCTCAAACAGAAGGATAGAAAGAGAATTAAAATAATAGTAATAGCTTTGCCTATGTGACTTAACATTCATTAGTGCACTGGGAATTATCTTGTTAACCATCAAAAGGCTGGCCCTGAGCCTGGGTGTGATGTGTGTATGTGCATGCAAGTGTGTATATGTGAGGGCCTGTTATACCAACAAACAACATGGATGGTGGGGTGATTCATCTTCCGTGTGACAACCAATGTGGCCCCACAAATTCTAGCTCCTGGTATATTTTTTAGGCTAGGGTGCCTTTCTCCAGGTAAATGTAGTATTTCCAGAGGTCTTTAGAATACTGAGAAAAGCTTGCCACTTCTATTGCATACCTCATGGGTTTCTAGGGAACTAGGAAACTGACAAGATGAGAAATGACAGAATAGAACAAGGATGTCACGAAGGCATTTAACATGCCCAGACTCAGCCATCCCTGCTGGGCGGAAGGGAAAGGCAGTGGGAGATGTCGTTCAAGGAACAGAAGATGCAGCCCTGATACAGACACCCCAGGAAGAGAAGACAAGACATCCTTACATCCCAACTGGTGTTGGGTTACATCCCAACTGGCGGGACGAGGGTTCTGTTTTCTAAACTGCTTGGACAGAGCCAATCAGCATTTGCTTTCATGAGATGACCAATGTTGCCACCCAGACTCTCTGAGTGCTTGGAATTGACTCGGGGGGGGACCTCTCTGGTGGTCCAGTGGTTGGAAGTGCAGCTGCCGCAGGGGACGTGAGTTCAATCCCTGGTCTGAGAACTAAGATCCCACACGCCATGAGGCAACTAAGCCTGTGCTCCGCAACAAAGGAAGCCACCGCAGTGAGAAGCCCTTGCACCGCAACTAGAGAGGCGCCCCTATTCACAGTAACTAGAGAAAGTCCATGCAGGAAAGAAGAGCTTAACAAAGACCCAGCATAGCCAAAAATAAAAAACAACAACAAAAAAAAAACAAAAACACAGCCTTGGTAACAATTTAAAAAAAAAAAAAAAAGAATCAACTCTGGAACAGATCACCTGCTTGCTCCATATCTGCTGAGGGGGAGCGGGGGTGTCCAGAGTCCCAGGGAGCTGAGAGGCAGAACCTCCAAGCCCTTCCACTGACCTCTGTTCCCCAGACAATGGCCATGGTCAGCCAAGGACATCCCCCAGTGACGACTTTATTTCTCGTGCTTATAGGTACTTATTTTCCACCCCACTTGGCTTCTAAATGTATGTCAATTACCTAATCCAGTGCTTGGATGAACAGCTCCATGTCTGCTGAGCACTTTCAACGAGTTTCAAAGATGATCTGGACCACATGTGACATCTATCTTATACACCAACTTAGATAAGTTCTCTTTGTATGCCTCTAGTCCTAAGAGAATCCATTACTTACCCTCTGTAGCATTAAATTAATTGTAAAGACTTATAAAGCATCATCATCTCTAACCTCAGCCTGGTGTTCACTCTTTAAAAGGCAAACAGGCTTTATTTGCTTAGGAAAGAAATAAAATATGAGTGTGAAAAGTAACTAATTTTTACAAAATGTCTAAAAAGAATGGAGGAAAACAGAGATGAGATCAAGGCTCATGGCAAATCAACTTACTTCAGGACCAACAATAACCATGTAAACGTTGGGCTCTTCTTGATGCCATTCTTGAGGAGAAAAAAGAAAAAAAAAAAGACTTTTAAAATGGTTTTAAGTCACAGCTGAAAACATAAGTCAGTTCAGTATTAATTGTGCTAATAATATAAATTCCTTCATATCATTTCGCTTTCATATTAGTCAACTTACAATTATTTGAAATGTAAGTATTGGACTTTTTATGGTTTTTATGGACTTTTATGGTTTTAAGGAAAACTTTTTTTCTAGACTATTGCACATTATTCAGATATTTAATTTATTATGTAGTTAGGATGCATATGCCATCGTAACTCAATATGGACTTCAGTATACACTGGAGTCTACAGACCAACTTAAGCAGTGCAACAAAACTCCAAATGTATCATACAAATTGGCATGTGTAAATTATTTCCAGGTAAAATTATTTTAGCCTTATCATTATTGGCTATTTTTTATGATTTTCTCAGAAGCTGAGAAGATCCCTTGGAGAAAAGAAATGGGAACCCATTCCGGTATTCTTGACTGGGAAATCCCATGGACAGAGGAGCCTGGTGGGCTACAGGAACCCATGGGATTGCAAAAAAGTCAGACATGACTGGGCGACTAAACAACAGCAGCAAAACAGAAGCTGAGGGCACAGGAAAGTAGGAAACAACTGAAATGACTAACGGCATGATTATTTTTCTGGTTGTTTCCAAAGCAACAATCTAGAAACAGTTCTGCTGGTGGGCAAAAAAAAATGAGAAATCTCAAAGTCCTAAGGAGAGACCTTTGAAGATGGGAACCACACTGGAATCCCGCAGGCGAGGGGTCACCCAAGAATACATACCGGAGAATGCATCCACCAAATAGAGAGGGTCTTTCACTTGTCTGAGTCCACAGATCAGGAGAAACATGTGTAGATTGTCAGCACTTTGGTTAATCTCTGNTTTCCAAAGCAACAATCTAGAAACAGTTCTGCTGGTGGGCAAAAAAAAATGAGAAATCTCAAAGTCCTAAAGAGAGACCTTTGAAGATGGGAACCACACTGGAATCCCGCAGGCGAGGGGTCACCCAAGAATACATACCGGAGAATGCATCCACCAAATAGAGAGGGTCTTTCACTTGTCTGAGTCCACAGATCAGGAGAAACATGTGTAGATTGTCAGCACTTTGGTTAATCTCTGCAACAGAAGAGTTCCGGGTGTATTGAAAGGAGAGGACACGGCTCCACGACAATGACCCCATAGAGCTCAGAGGCTACTCGGCTCTGAACTTTCAACCAGCTGTGCCCACACCAAACCTTTATTTTCATTTCCCTGCATGAACTAACAGCTCTGATGGCTCAACCTGAGCTGAGCCTGGCCTAATAAACATAAAGGTACTTCCCACTGCAATGCAGGGGGAGGGGGCAACAGAGAACTGACTCAGCTATTACTGAAATGTCAGCCACCGGTCATGGAAAGTATTTCAGTGAAATTCCAGTTGAGACGAATGTCTTCTTTATAAAACCAGAAAGATGGTTTATATAGGAATGTCCTCTTAAGTTCATATATTAGTACACATACACACCCATAGATAGAGAAAAGTTTTGGTTTGCCATTTGAAAGCTGTCATGTAAGACTGGGGCTTCCCAGGTGGTGCTAGTGGTAAAGAACCAGCCTGCCAATGCAGAAGACTTAAGAAACGTGGGTTCAGTCCCTGGATCAGGAAGATCCCCTGGAGAAGCGAATGGCCACCCACTCTGGTATTATTACCTGGAAAACGCCATGGACTGTAGCCCACCAGGTTCCTAGGGCCACAGTCCATGGGGCCACAAAGAGTCAAACACAACTGAGCACACAGACACACACACACACACACACACAAGTAAAACACAAACATTCTTTGTGGTCCCTTTCAACAAAAGGTGGAACCCATTTCCCCACCCCTAGATGCTGGGCTCACCTGGTGACATGCATTAATTACATAGCAAGGAGGGACTTCCCTAGTGGTCCAGTGGCTAAGACTCTGAGCTCCCAGTACAGGGGGCCAGGGTTTGATCCTTGGTCAGGGAACTAGATCCCACATGTTGCAACTAAGACTCAGTGCAGCCAAATAAAGAAATAATATTAAACAAAAAATAACAAAGCAAGTGAAAGTGATTCCCAAGCCTTGGTCTTGAAGGCTGGTGTCCAGGGCCCTCACCCATTGGGACATGTGTGCATGCATGTTAAGTCGCTTCAGTTGTGTCAAATTTGTGACCCTAGAGATGGTAACCGGCTAGGCTCCTCTTGTCCATGGTATTCTCCAGGTGAGAATCCTGGAGTGGGTTGCCATGCTCTCCTCCAGGGGATCTTCCCGACCCAAGAATTGAACCTGCATCTCCTGTGTTGCAGGCAGATGTTTTACCCACTGAGCCACCTGGGAAGCCCCCACCCATTGGGATACTGCTGCCTCATAGTCAGGCTGGGCTGCCTCCTTAAGAGTATACTTGATGGAGAGAGACTCAGCCACTCATGCAGGACCCCTCAGGCCTCAGCTTAACTTACAAGTGAGCCCAACACACACAGAGGAAGCAGAGATGAGCCAAGTCCAAACCATGCGTGTGTGCTAAGTCACTTCAGTCATGTCTGACTCTGCGACCCTATGGACTGTGGCCCACCAGATTCCTCTGTCCATGGAATTCTCCAGGCAAAAGTACTGGAAAGTGGAAAGAAAGTGAAAGTGAAGTCGCTCAGTCATGTCCAACTCTTTGCGACCCCTTGGATTGGAGCCCACCAGGCTCCTCCATCCATGGGATTTTCCAGTCAAGAATACTGGAGTGGGTTGCCATGCCCTTCTCCAGGGGATCTTCCCAACCCAGGGATCAAACCCAGGTCTTTTGCATTGCAAGCAGATTCTTTATCATCTTAGCCACCAGGGAAGCCCCAAGTCTAAACTGCTGACCCACAAAATCATGAGAAAATACATTGTGGTTGTTTTAAGTCATCATATGCTGAGGTGGTTTGTTATACAGCCGTTATCACAGGGTCAATAGACAGTATTAATATCATTAACCCAAGTGAACCTAAAACTTCATCATTTGCAAATGCATATCAGTTCAGTCAGTTCAGTCGCTCAGTCATGTCCGACTCTTTGCAACCCCATGAATCACAGCACGCCAGGCCTCCCTGTCCATCACCAACTCCCAGAGTTTACTCAAACTCATGCCTATCGAGTCGGTGATGCTATCCAGTCATCTCATCCTCTGTCATCCCCTTCTCCTCCTGCCCCCAATCCCTCCAAGCATCAGGGTCTTTTCCAATGAGTCAACTCTTCGCATCAGGTGGCCAAAGTACTGGCGTTTCAGCTTCAGCATCAGTCCTTCCAAATGCATATAACTGGACATAAAACCATGCAAGGAGAAAGTGTTCATTCACACATTTTATTTCATTCGTCCAGTTCTTTTTTTGTGGTATTCTTCTGGTTTTGCTTTGTTTTGTTGATCACACTGCATGGTATGTGGGTATGTGGGTATGGCTGGGTACGGTATGGGTATGTGTGGGTATGGCTGGGGTCTCCCCAACCAGGGACTAAACTTGGGTCCCCTGCAGTGGAAGCACCGAGTCCTAACCACTAGACTGCCAGGGAAGTCCCCTCATTCATCCAATTCTCAATGGAAACAAGTTCATTTCCTCTATGACTTTTTTCTTTTTTTTTTTTAAATCTTTTGGTCACGCCTTGAAGCACGTGGGATCTTAGTCAGCCAGCTAGGGATTGAGCTCGCTTTCCCTGCACTGGAAGTTTAGAGTCTTAACCACTGCACTGTCAGGGAAATTCCTCCTCTGTGCTTTTTTTAGTAACATAATTAGAATAAATGTAATATAATACATTGAGAGTATTCTGACACAATCACAAAAGCTAATAATAATAATAATGCATAACTAGCTCTGGAGAAAATCTTTACTGAAATGTTAAGATTCAGATGTCCTCTTAGAAAACCCTTAAACCTCCTAAGAAAAGCAGGTTCGGAAGATCCTTGGAGAAAAGTGATCTTTGACATATCTGTACCCCAGGATCCCTAGGAAAGATAACCTTGTAAGAAAATAATCCATAATCGATAACACTGATCTTTAGAATGTTTTGTGACTTATATTGCCACATGAGATATAACTGCTTACACACACACACAGATACACACATACACAGGACAGTCTCAAAGAATAACTTAGACTTATCACATACCAGGCACTCTGATGTTTTCTATTCCATTTCACTTCATTTTTTATTAAAAGAGCTGGTGCTCAACTCACTAAACTGAGTTTGAGATCCTCCTTGCCCTTCTTCTCCCCGACCTACTAGACTCTAGAAGGAGACAAGAGTTAATCCCATATCCCCTTGCCTCTCTTCCCCCACTTCTTTCTGGCCTGGAGATTAAATGTCACAGGAATTTAGAAAAGGACATTAGAACAGGATCAAACAAAGAACCAAATGCTTTGTCTTATTTTAGGAATTTTTAAAAAACAAATTTTAAATTAAATGCAGAGACAGCACCTGGGTTTGAGAGCTTATGTGAATTTTTCAGATATACCAATATCATTTTCAGGAAATGAAGTTCAAAAGTCCTGATCAAACAACCAAGGTCTCAGGCCCATGTCGGGAATGCATCAATCTGGAATAATTCCATTTCAGCCTCTCCTGGGGAAATGTACTATGTTCAGTCTCAGATTTTAAAAAAGAACAAAACAGACTGGATTGTAGAGGCTTGGAGGTCGGGCACAGACCCACCTAAACTTTTTTAGTGGATTTCCTCTCTTCATTTTAACCCAAAACTTATTTTTCTTCTCTTGACTTTTCCTCTAAGATCCAGGATTCACATGAACCAAGGTTTGAACTCATCCTTTAAACACCCATTTACGTGCCTTTCCGATATTACCATTTCCTAGAGAATGGTATTTTTATCTTCTAAACAAAATGTGTCATTTTCATGGTCTGACACCACATCGGTCGTGACAGACTAAGCACCACACTCCAAGTCCTCCAAGTCTGTTCTAGAATAGAAACCCAGTCCTCCTGAAAGTCACTTTCTTTGCTGTTTCCTATTCCAGCAGCTCTTGTTCCGTTGGTTTTTTTGTGTGTTATTGTAAGGAGAAAAAAAATTCAAGAACTTCTGCTGAGTGATCAGACTTAGTGAATGTTAAATTGAAAAATCTGTTTTGGGGGACTGTGAATGCAGAAAGAGATCTAATAACAGGAATTTTCCATCTGAAAAAGTGATTTTTCCTCAGAACAGCCCGAGGAAGGAAAATATGACCATCTGAGCTGGCATATTAGAGTATCCATATAGGAATACTGAGTTTTAAAGGAGAGAGAAAATAAAATAAACAATGAAAATAGAAATAAAGTGAGAATTTAAAACCTAAGATGGTGTGGCCAGGTCAAGTTTAAGTTTTTACAGTTTCAGGGTTGATGGCCTTCGAGGCACCATTACTCTACATGCATTAGTTACTGGTATTTAGAAACAAAAATTAGAACTTCCCCCATGATCCAGTGCTTAAGACTGCACACCCAATGCAGAGGGGCCTGGGTTCGATCCCTAGTCAAAGAACTAGATCCCACATGCTGCAACTAAGCCACATGGTGCAACCAAGATCGAAGATCCCACATGCTGCATCTAAGACCTGGTGCAGCCAAACAAATAAATAAAAATAAAAGCAAAAATCATGGATGATGGAACCATAACAACATTTAAGACGTACCTGAGAAGTCAAAGACCAGGTCACTAACTTGATGTCTAAACACATACCTCTGGATCAGAAGTGCTATTGTGACTGTCACGTGAAAAATTATAACAATGCCACTTAGTGCATTTTTGGGGGTTTCCTGGTGGCTCAGACAGTAAAGAATCCGACTGTAATTCAGGAGACCTGGTTTTGATCCCTGGGTTGGGAAGATCACTGGAGAAGGGAATGGCAACCCACAGCAGTATTCTTGCCTGGAGAATCCCATGGACAGAGGAGCCTGGGAGGCTACAAGTCCATGAGGGTAGCAGAGTTGGACACAACTAAGCGATTAGCATTTCACTTTCTTTAGTGCCTTTAATCTATTTTATTCTCTATTTGTTCCTAGTTGACCTGTTTGAACATGGAATCTGGTTGGCATATAACTGATTTAATGTTTTACACCAAGGAGATTTAGAAATATAACTGAACATTCTCAGCAA